TTATATATTATTTTTTTGTGACAAAATTTTTGTTAAAATATTTGTGTTGTAATTATATAAATATTTTTTTATTTAATATCAATTTTAATAATTAATGACTAGATTTTTTATCACAATTGCATTTGTGACGAATATTTTTTTATGACGAATAAAATTGTTATAAATAACTTGTTAATAATGTCAATTTTTTTATCACTATAAGATTATTTTCTGTGACAAATACCTAATTTGTCACTAAGAGCATTAGTGACAAGGGTTTTACTAACGGTTTAAATTTTATCACTAATACTAATTTGTGACGAAAAATAAAGATTTAATTATCAATAATTTAGTCACTAAATGTGAATTTTCTTGTAATGATGACACCAATTTTTTCTTTGGTTCGCTATTGTTCTTTTCTGCTTGTACTTACTATTTTAACCCTATGTTTGTTCCGTATTAGTCCACATGTTAGGGTTAAAAATTGTAAATATATACAAGAAACAATAGAGAGAGAGGTGGGTTTCTCTTAATAGAAAGAAAAAAAAATTGGATGTGGTGGGTTCTTAATAGAAAGAAAAAAGTGGGTTCTTAATAGAAAGTAAAAAATGGATGTGGTGGATTCATATAAAAAGAAAAAAGTGGGTTCTTAATACAAAAAAGTGGGTTCTTAATACAAAGAAAAAAGTGGGTTCTTAACAGAAAGTAAAAAATGGATGTGATGGGTTCTCTTAATGGAAAGAGAGAAACCCAGGATAAGGTGTGGGGTTCTCTCTCCAATGTTTCATTTAGGATCACTTCGTATTCCTCCACATGTTAGGGTTAAAATTGTAAATACAAGAAACAATGGAGAGAGAGAAACAATGAATGAGCTGGGTTTCTCTCTAAAACCATGTACCATATGCTGTACTGTAGAATAAATGAAAAAAAAAAAAGAAGCAAAAGATTGATATTAATAATGTAGTTTTGAAATTTTTTTGCTAATTTTTTATTAAATTTGACTAATAAATGCGAACATTATACATATATTATATATGAAAATGTATTTTGTAAGTTGTTTTCTTAAATTTTTTTTAGAGGATATGTGTGAAAACTCTTTTTTTAATTAATATTTTTAAAAATCAATTGTTGAATTAAAAGTTCTATCTATATAGATTATGTATATCAAATTTTAAATTATTTTAATAGTCAAACCACTTTATTCATTATATATAAGAAATTGAATTTGTTTATGATACAGGTTAAAAGTGTAATTATTGTACTTTTTACATTAATTATTATTAAAAAATATAAAAATTGTCATTGATTTCATCGATAGCGTCATGTGGACCTTTTTAATTACATAGTTACTTAAATAAAAATTAATTTTTATTTTGAATAGTAATTAATGAGAAAATTGTGTAATAATTATATCATTAACTTATACTCTTTGAGCATAAATTATAAAATTTTAAAGAAATTTAACAACGTTAAATATACTTTCTTTGATTAAAGAGTTATAAAATTTCAATTAATATGAAAATTAACATACATGATTTATATGAATAGAATTTACAATTCATCAACAGTCGGATTTTTAACATATTAATTAAAAAAGAATAAATAAGTCATCCCAAAAAAAAACTTTAAAGGATGACATGCTAGCTTCATATATATATATATATATAAACCTTATTTTACAATTTAAATTATAGTAGACTATACAATAGAGATTGTTGGATTAGAGCCCTGATATCAATGGCATTGACGGAGATAAGGTGGGCATGAAGGGGCA